TTTTCCGCACGGTATTCACGCTATCTCTCCCTATGTATGTGTGTTGTATGGAAGCTTTACTCTTGAACTTCCTTTTTCTTTCTTTTTCTTGTGTTGTCTTTTGGACACAATGGCTGAGATTTTGTGTGAATCTGATACAGCATAAAACTCCACAGGTGTCCTTTCATGAACAGTGTGAGGCTTGGCAACAATGTGATGGTGGTTTGTCTCACAGCCCCGGTGGTGCAATGGGTTAAGCCCTTGTACTGGCAGGATTGCTGACTGAAAGGTTGGCAGTTTGAATCTGGAAAGCGGCATGAGCTCCCGTCTGTCACCTCCAGCTTCCCATGCAGGGACATGAGAGAAGCCTCCTACAGGATGGTAAAACATCTGGGCATCCCCTGGGCAACATACTTGCAGATGGCCAGTTCTCTCACACCAGAAGCAATTTTGCAGTTTCTCAAGTTGCTCCTGACACAGAAAAAAGCAGACCTCACAGGCAATCAGTTTTGGGAAGGTTGTGAGTGTTGGTGCTACTGCCACACACTGATCAATTTGTAAGCTTGTTTATGCTTCAGTTGAAGACAGAACATTGTGCATAAGGGAGCATTGGATGCCTTCTTCTACAAGCTTGTAATAAAAGCACAACCAAGAGTCACACTGATATAATGTCTCAACAATCTTTTGTCCATTATCTTTCTTATGAATGCCTGCTCTTCTGTTGACATTTCTCATGCTTTAGTTATGAACTATGTTGCCACAATATATTTCATAGTCTTGGTGCCAGCACCACATTCCCTATTTTGTTTAGTCATTCTCCCAGATTGGGGAAGAAAAAATTGAACTATCTGGTTAGCTAAAATCTTTGTTCATTTTTTCATTGCTAGTTGTTACTTTTCTTGTTATCAATTTTATTCGTTCTGGTTCAGTATTATTGCATAAGTAATAGTTTTCATGACTATTACTGTGTCCTTCTTCTCTTGAACTGGTCATTGACTGCAATAACGTGAACTTGAACTTGATGGCTATTACATAAACTATAGTACTGGAACAACAGAACTATCATTCTTTCATTGTAGGTAATTAATCTTTCTCCCAATAATAAGGGTTTTTCCCCCTTGCAAGCTTTCATGGGTGTCGTGTCTAGCTCACGTCAAAGGGCACAATAAAGTCAATGTAGATGAGGCCACAGGTATTTCAACATTAAAAAAAAATTGGAAATACCTTGTCATTCTGGGTGGAAGAGAAAGATAGCAAACAGATCGGGGTTTCACTGTATCCTGGAATTCACAGAGTTGCATTACTGAATTGTTAGTCTAGTGTTTCACTGTAAACATTTCATCATAATTTAGATAACAGACTTCCCCACCCCACTTGTGTGCTCTCCTGATACTTAGACTAAATCCTCGCCAGGATGGTCTATAGTTGTTATGCATGATGGGGTTTTGCTGGGAATCTCCTTTCCTGCTTCCCATTTCATGAGAGAGTCATAGAGGTTTCTTACCAGCCAGACTCTATAATCTCTTCTCTGCAACCATATTCTCTGTTTTTATTTATTTTTTATTGCAGTTTTAGTCAAACCAATATCTAAAACAGGCAGTCTGATAAAAAGGCTGTGTTCTTATCATGCCAGAAAATGTTTATAAAACAATGATGTAAACTGGATATAAATTAACTGCTAATTTGAGTGAGAGATATATGGAGTAGATAAGTTTACATTCTTGGCATGTACCATATGGTATGAGATACTTTGATAAGAGGCTGGAAAATTCACCTACACTTCAGATAACATGATTATAAAATATATGCATGCTGAGTCAGTGGACTACAAGGTTTGAAATTCACAGCAGACTTTTTCCTTCCCATTTTGGATCTATAATTTCCTTCCTAGATAAGATAAGAGTTCATACAAGCATATGGAAGGCCCCTGTGAAGTCTTATGGCTCAGAGGCCCCTTCTACACAGCTTTATAAAATACACATTGAATTGGATTATATGGCAGTGTGGACTCAGATAGCCCAGTTCAACGCAGATATTATGGATTATTTGCCGTGATATTCTGAGTTATATGGCCATTTGGAAGGGCCCTGAGGAAAATATGAACAACATTCATCTTTTGTGCCAATTTATTTGTATGAGTTTTAAGTTATCACTGTTCCGAAATCTGTTTGATTTTGCCATCCATGTTTGTGTGATAGCAAAGACAGGACGGGATCCAAAGAATGACTTTACACATAACTGAGAACTTATGCATGCAGAGTGGTATTTCAAACTTTTGTTTTGAAACTTTTTTCCTTAATACAGCAGCACATCATAGTACATCAAAAACTGCTTTAGAAGCACCCCTCAGTTTCAAAAGCAGTTTGCTAGTATATGATGTGTAAGAGGATGCTGTTGGAGAAAATACGGAGAACTGGTTGTGTGCGTCTTTGGATCTTGCTCTTGTGAAACTCTATAGGTACTTTATTCATTAGAAATACAGATCAAAGAAAGTTTTGTTGTTTGTCTAAATATCATAAATAATTTTGTAATGCTATACACATGCATTCGGATGGGACACATATTGAACTTAACGTCATTAAAGTTGGAACTACTTCTGAACCAGGCCATGTTATCACTATGAATCAAGTCACACATACAGGAGCTGCATTGCTGACACTGTTACAGATGACCAGATCACCTGATAATGTGTGATAAGTTGCGAATGCACATTTTAAAAAACAAAAAAAATGCTACGTGCTGCATCTGAGTTGCATTAAAATAGATGACAGTCCTTTAAAATGTTAAAGCCTTTTCCCCACAGTTAGTTTTTTCAGTTTATCTGGAATCCGGCCATTTGGGGATCTTCAAGGTGGGCTGCTGCTGTCCTTCAGCAGTTACAGCCTAAGACCTCTGCTGCTTCAGGTCAATTTGCCTTCAAGGTTGGTGGTGCTATTTTTTCCCATGTACTTGATTTCTTTATTTTTAAAAGAAGCATGCTCAGGTCAGTTGTCTCTGCCTTTGCATTAAATTTGTCCTGAGCCATTGCTTTGGAAACAATATTTTATAATGGTATTCTTTGCAATGTTTAATGTGCTCCATTATTAACTTCTATTGCATGCATTTGATACTACGTACTGTACTTGCTTCAGACCGTAGAAGTGTGATTGCTTTAAACAGAATGAAGAGTTGACCATGCATGCTGATTAATATTCTAATCTCACTGCCTGTGTATGGACAATAGGAAAAATAACATTTATTCTAGCACTACTATATCTATTGCAGGAACAGCATAAAGCCATATTATCCTATTTTCATTGGAAATGACCATACATTCAAAGTTATGCAATACCACATTTCCCACTTGATAGCTGAATAAAATATCAGTATATATACACACATTTTTAATAAATCAGTTGCAATGAACACTGAAGTCTTTGATGTAAATAGATACTACGAGTAGATTTTACTAATGTAGGTGATGAGCAAATTATCCCCCTGGAAGTTGTTTACACTCTGCTATTGGATTTTCCAAAGTATTTTTTAAAAGACCTAATTAAGTAAAGATGGACATCTTCCAAGAAAAACACAAGATATGGCTCACCCACAATGCTTGCCAAACAATCTGAAGCATTAAGGAAAGTATGGCTGGATTTCATTTACCTTTTAAGAAATGGTTTCAATGGTTATATATTGTACGCCTACCATGCACTGACAGTGAATCAGCAAAATACTGCATGACTCAGCATGAACAATTTAACACGAGAATATCATTATAAAATATTTTAATGAAACGTCTTTGTGCCATTATCCCTGTACATGGGAGCTTTTGTTCATTGTGGGAAGTTAAACAAAAATTTTGACTTTTCATATATAGACATGCATGATGCTGCAAAACAGCCTATGTAAACTATCCCTTTCTGTTGAGTTCCGTTTTTCCCACAAATTGATTTGCCGTCATTTGTCCGGATCACTGATCCCCCTTTTTTTCTTGCCCTCCTCCTCATACATTCTGTAAATAAATGTCTATAAATATACCTTGATGTTGTCTTTCATAATTAACAATTGTTGTATAATCACCATACTGGCATTTTTGTGTTAAAATGCCACTCCTTAGTATGGGTACACCTGCTGCAAAGGGAAAAGGATAATGTTAAATGATAGTTTACACCTCAGGATTAGCACACTGGAGGGTGTAAACAGCCAGAAAATGTGCCTTTTTTGAAAAAAAGTTTTGCAAATAGTTCAAAATATGTTGGAAAATAATTTACAATTTGTTAACCCCTTCATTTCTCATTTTATGTATAAAAACACATACAAGATGAACCACTGGGGTGTCTAGTAGGCACTAAGGGGTTAACTACAAGAAATATATATGCATATATATATATATATATTATCTCTCTATATATATCTGTATGATATAAATTGAGCAATGAACCATTCCAAATCTTGATTGCATTCTTAATACATATTTCTTTTTTTCTCTGCCAAGCTTTTTTGGAGAAAAATATAATTGAAAAAGCACTTATGCAGAGACCATCTTTAATAGATGTATATATACATCAATTGTCTGAGGTGTTATTGAAAAGAATATTGTATTTTGGTCAATTGATTTCATGGTGTTGTAAGCAGGTTGTGATTTAGCATGTTGCACCCAGCATGTTAAAAACATTCTTTTTAATTGTTATGTGAAATGTTTGCATATGTGATTATTATCTGTGAACTCATTGTACATGTATCCAAATGTGTTTTCTATTGTGCTTGATTTTGCTGGCCATTCTTGAATGGCTTGGCAATTCAAGAAACAAATGTTTTGTGCTGTCCTCTGTAATGCGTATTCTCTTTGACGTGTTTTGTCATATTTCATAAGCTTGTATCCTTCCTTCGCCAACAACATATCTTTATATTTGTTGGAAACAAATTTATGCAAAGACATATCTTAACCAGCATTGCTTGAACATATTTTTTTAAAAAAATTGATATGCAATTAACTGGTTCAGCTTTTAAACACATTCTTGCTTGATGTAACTCTTTTGCAGTTAATCCACCATCAGACTTGAAATTTAAAATTATAGATGAGCGTACTGTTCAGATGATATGGACGAGGCCATCTGATGCAATAGAAGGTTACAGGATAACAGTGACCCCTACAACTGGTACGTTCTAGTGTTATTCTATGAAAAATTGATTATTGCATCATCATGAACTAATTTGTTGGAGGAGTATGTGTTGACAATGCCGAAATACAGTATCAAAATAAAAGACCAAGGCATTTTTAAATTGTTCAGAATCATGCCTGATACCTTACAGTGCAATCCTACCCATGTCCACATAGAGGTGAGTTTCGCTGAGTTCAACGGGACTCAGTCTATATAGAACTGAAGCATTAGTTGGGCATGAAGAATGAGCTGGGAATTATTCTTAGCCTGGATCTGCATTGTATTGGTTTACACTGACCAGACAATGCAGTTCCAAACTGCATTATATGGCCATTGTTGTTTAATAGGACTTCTCAATGCACAGGCTCCCAAACTGACTGCAGTTTGTTGCAGCCCATACTTAAAAAGGTGCTGACTTGCACACAGATGTGCTGATGAGAAAATACACACATTACCACCATTTAATAATATGGTGTGTGACTGTCCATGTATCCTGCCTTCTGTAGTGTGTGTCCATCGTGGAGCAAAACCCAAGTGGACTTAGAGCAGGTATCCTCAAATGGCGGCTCTCCAACATCCAAGTCCTAGCTAGTTCATTCAATGGTCAGGAATTCTTGGAGTTGGAGGCCAAAACAGCTGGAAGGCCACTGTTTGAGGATGCCTGATCTAGAGGGTTCAGTTTACATAGTGCAGGAAGTATTTTTTGCAGTGCAGAGACAGCCTCTAGTCTGAGTACCTGGATATGGGGTAAACCTCACCCTGAAATGGAGGGTGAAAGACTTCCACTATTTGGGCTATCATCTGCCAGTTGTGCAGAGAACCATGGTTGCATCTTGGGAAGCATTTGGAGCTTATATGTTAACCGTCTCTGCTATTCTACAATTTCCCCAGTCGGAGCATATGCTTTCCCTGCATATGGGTAATCCCCAACACCCAGACACTTTTCTGTATGTCTATCTAGATTGCTAGTAACAACAACACATTCAGTAGGTGGAATGCAGAATGCTGGCAAGTCTGGCTTGAGGCAAAGCAGCAGACTCACCCATGCCTACATCTGGCTGACTTATTTTAGTATATGAGCAGAAGATCCTACAAGTATATTTCCTCATCAATTATAGCAAAGTCAGTTACACAATGGCTCCCCTTTCATGACAGTCAGAGTTAGTTGCCTCAGCTCCCTACCTCACTTTTCCTAATGGAGAGAATAAGACAAGATTTTCTGTGTAAAAACCTGCCTGGTGGTAGTTGATCATATATAGTATATTCGCTGTCCCATATTCAGGGGGAAAAGTGTATGTACACATATGTGAAACTTCTCCCTACTCCTGCCATGGCTAACATCCATCCATCCTTATTATTATTATTATTATTATTATTATTATTATTATTATTGGATTACTACACTGAGATTTTGCATTTCTGCATAATGATTTTTTTCTATGTATGTTGGATTTCAGATGGACCTTCTAGAGAATTTACTCTAGCACCCAGTGCTACTGAAACATTATTAAGAGACCTCACAGCTGATGTAGAATATCTTGTAACTATAAGTTCATATGATAACATAGAAGAGAGTATATCTGTCTCTGGACAACTTACAAGTAAGTTCATATAATTAAAATTGAGTGTTACCAGGCATAATCAAATATATGGTTTTAATCTCTTAGAAAATGCAGTCAATAGCTATTAAGCATATGCTGAAGGTGGGCTCAATTTCTGTTTGTTTTCTGTTAATTCTCTGTTTTTGTTTTTTTTAAGTCCAAACAGGTGGTTTAATAACAACAGGAGAAAAGAAGATTGAAGAAGTTCAGTTGCAAAGTGAGTAAATAAAAGGCACAATATTCTGAAACAAGAATTAGTTAACTCTTTCTACAATTCTGTTTATCTCACCCAATAACAAAACAAAATTGAAACAAGAATGTATTAAAAACTGTCAAGAATTAAATGGAAGTCAGAAGATCTTAAAATGTGAACCAATAATAATGATCTTTTAAATATTGACCATATCCTCCCCTACTTTGTGCCCATCAGAGTCTTCCATTGCATGCCATCCAAATCTCTGTTACACAGAACTTTTATTCAGGAGATCTGTGAACAAAACTTAGCATACTCCATGGCTAGGAAAGCTATTTGAGTTACTTTCTCAGAGGGCTGCAATGCATTCTTTCAGTCAGTTTAGGTGGGCAGAAATGATGTTGCCTTGCTCTCAGATTTTGGCCTTTAATTTCTTTTGGGGGTTCCAGGATGATACCCTCTAGAGCAGTGGTTCTCAACCTGTGGGTCCCCAGATATTTTGGCCTTCAACTCCCAGAAATCCTAAACTGGCTGGGATTTCTGGGAGTTGTTGGACAAAACACCTGGGGACCCACAGGTTGAGAACCACTGCTCTAAAGCTACATGGAATAACCTACAAGCCACTTGTGGTCTATGCATCAACTGAGTCTCCCTTCCCCCAGTTAAGATGTTACCTTGTAGAGCTTGCAAATGGACAAAAGCTTGTTTCCAACTCTCAAGATCCAAGAAATAAATTGTCTTTATTTAGGCTTACTATGCCAGCATAATGAAACACATGCACACATTATGAGCTGGATCCAAAGATTCTGTGAACAGCATTGATTTCAAAGAATCCAGGTCACAGGTGAAGAAGATGAAAATTTCACATATTTATTTAGGTGATATGCAATATATGTATGTGATGCAGAACCATAGGATCATAAAGCTGGAAGGTGACCCCATAGGCCATTGAGTTTAACCAGCTGCTCTGTGTAAAAGCTCCAGTTAGAACATCCCCAGCAGCTAGCTATTCAACCTCTTTTTGAAGATGTCCAGAGAAGGAGATACCTTATCTCTCCGGGTATTTGGTTCTCATTCTCATTGTCAAGAGGTTCTTTGTAATGTTCAATTCAAGACTATCCTTCTAAAACTTAAAACTATTAAATAAGGTCTTACAGTCTGGGACAGCATCGAACAAACCAACATCCTCCTCTCTGAGTTCTTTAGACATTTAAAGAGTGTAATCATGTCACCTTGTAGTGTTCTCTTCACCAAATTGAACATTCTCAACTCTCCTCATATTTTGTTCTCTGTACCTTTATCAGCCTTATTACCCTTAACTCGGTCTACTTCAGCTTGTCTATATCCATCTTAAAGATGAAATGCCCAGAACTAAATTTAGTATAGTGGGACTATTATTTCTCTTGAACTTGGAAACTGTGGTTCTATTCATGCAGGCAAAAATATTTTCTATCTTTCCTGCAGTCTCAAACTACTGGGTCATATTCAACTTATGATCAACAATAAATCTCAAGTTCCCTTCACATGTACTAATACTATGCCAAGTATTCACTCATATTGAATTTGTGTGTGTGTGTGTGTATGCAAGTAATCGATTGCACTGGCAAATATATCAATTTTTTAATAAATTATTTTCCAGGATGTTCCCTTAGTGCTGTTACAGATCTCGTTTTTCTTGTGGATGGGTCTTGGAGTGTGGGCAGAAACAACTTCAAATACATATTGGATTTCATTGTTGCACTGGTATCAGCTTTTGATATTGGAGAAGATAAGACAAGAGTTGGAATCGTACAGTACAGCTCTGATACAAGGACTGAGTTCAACTTGAATCAGTATTACAGACAGAGGGACCTCATTGAAGCAATAAAAAACATACCCTACAAAGGAGGCAATACAATGACAGGTTTGGACTTTCAGCTATTTGATAATGGTGTTTACCTAACTTAATGTGGAGATAGCTTTGTAGGTCATGATAGTCGGGCTTCCCAGGTGCTGACTTGCTGACCAATTTTCTGACAATTGACTGTTTTCTTCCTAGAAAAATTTATAGATTCACACATTTTGGGAAAAGTTTGGGAAGAGTAACCAATTGTGAACCACCCAGTTGAGAGGAGGAAGGACCGAAGGTAGCTCAGATGAAGGCTATTTTCCAGCCTGTTCTGGGAGCATAGATTTTGCTGCCATAACCTCTCAAGATCTTTTTGTCGCTTAATTTAATTAACATTCACCCAACCCACCCATGACATTCACCCATTGCCATGTGAAGCTTAAAATAATGTCACCACAATTTGGTTGGTTTTAGCATGGTCCCTGGATCCAGTTGGAGGGTTAATCAGAGCCTGATGTGAGTGTTTGGAGCTCTCCTTAAGGGAACTTGGGAATAAGGCTATGTAGTGCTAAGCCCAGCTCAGGAACAAATGGCCATATCCCCACTACCAGGCAAGAAGGAAACATTTGGTGGCTTCTGTCAATGTGGCACCCTTGGTCTGTCATCTCAGGTGTACCAGCACTTGGGCTGGGTAGTTTTCTTCCACCAGCAGTCAGGTCAATCAATGTCTGGATCTGGCCTCATATTGGGCTTAAGCCTCTGTAACTGTAATCAATACAGTTGTGGTCTTTTTTGACCCAATAAATAGTTGTCTGTGTTTTGCAAAGGGAACACTCTTTGTTGCTGTAGATCCTGCAATATAGGGAGCACTTAACTGACTGGATTTTACAATTCTGAATTTGATATAAAGCTGAAAATGTATGTAGTTAACATAAACATAATCTCTTTTATAACTTTTAGGAGAAGCAATTGAATATTTGATGAGGAATACATTTGTGGAATCTGCTGGGTCAAGAAAAGGCTTTCCCAAAGTGGCAATTATAATTACGGATGGAAAGTCGCAAGATGAAGTAGAAATTCCTGCAAGAGAACTTCGTGCTGCAGGAGTTGAAGTATTTTCCTTGGGTATGTTGATCTTTTTGTAATGTCAAGGGCAAGAAACAAAAGTTGTGCCACGTCTTTGCTATAGAAAACCAATTTTTACTCCCCTATTCAAATTACTTGTGATCAGATCTACTTCTATAGACTATGTTCACCATGCTTATGCTATGCACTTAAAAGTAAAATAACAAAAAAAATTGTCTGGATGGTGTTCCTCTTATTCCAAAGAAGTGTCCAGAGAAACAGAAATACATTTAAAACATTATTTGAATTAGTAGTTATTAGTAAAGGTAAAGGCTTTCCCTTGACATTAAGTCTTATTGTGTCAGACTCGGGGGGGGGGGGGGTGGGGGGGGGGCTCATCTCAGTTTCTAAGCCGAAGAGCTGGCATTGTCCATACACACCTCCAAGGTCATGTGGCCAGCATGACTGCATGGAATGCTGTTACCTTTCCGCCTGAGTAGTACCTATTGATCTACTCACATTTGCATGTTTTCAGACTGCTAGGTTGGCAGATGCTGGGGCTAACAAGCAGAAGCTCGCCCAGCTCCCTGGATTTGAACTGCCAATCTTTCGGTCAGCAAATTCAATAGCTCAGTGATTTAACCCACTGTGCCACCAGGGGCTCCTAGTACTTATTATCAAGTGGTAAATAGTATTAAAATGTTCTCTGAATGCAAAAGCTTTACTTTCTATAGTTGTACATAAATACTGATCCATCATAGATTTTTGCATGTCTGAGTTTATGGAATGGAGGAGAAGGCACTCAGTATTTGGCAGCCTATCTGTACACTAAATACTGGAAGGCATTCCTTTTCTCACACTGAATTTGATTCTTTTAAAATGTTTGTATAATGCTTCAACTATACCTTGGATTTCAAATGCCGTCAGGAGAAAAGTGTAATATAATTCAAACAAACAACAGTACAGTGGTCAGATTCTCTCTCAGTGTGAATCCTCAATTGGGCAACATTGGTGAGTCATGGGAAACTAAACGAACAACTCTCACATATTGTTACCTTTTCTTGTTTTTTTACTTTTATTTAGGGATCAAGGCTGCAGACGCCAAAGAACTGAAATTAATTGCATCTCAGCCCTCACTGACGCATGTATTCAATGTGGCCAATTTCGATGGCATTGTGGATATACAGAATGAAATAGTCTCACAAGTGTGTTCAGGTGTAGATGAACAGTTGGGTGAACTTGTTAGTGGAGAAGAAGGTGAGGAACAGTTTCACAACAGCTAATTTAATCCAGAGAGAAAAATGAAGTATTTTAAACACTGCTATAATTCAGAGACAGGAGTACTTATTTTGCATATAATGTGTCTCAGTTGCAATCTGAAACTAGCATGTCAGGTGGAAGATTTTTGACAGAGATTCTGGAGAACTACTGCTAGTCCGAATAGGAATACTGGGCTAAGTGTAGTCTAATTTAACCGTGGGAGTTTCCTTCCTTTTAAAGGTATTTCTGGCCAGGAATCAAACACTATTTTAATGTTGTTTCAAGGGCTTGAGCACATGCAGAAATAATATTCCTATGCATTGTCTGTTTGTTGGAATAGCAAAGTCTCATGCCACATTCTAAAACATTTTGAAGCTTAACTCAGAGAAAAGTGGTGATATATGAAGGAGTTGTCATTATACGAATGTACCTAGTCATTAGAGCAGACTACTTATGTGTGTTTTAAGAAAACCAACCAACTTTGTTCTCTACTCTGCTATTACTTATAAGTATAATAGAAAGCCTGAAAGAATATTGATTAGACCAAAAATATCAAAAATATTAGAATGTCTAATTTTTAAAATTCTCTGCGGGATTTACACACTTCCAACTCTAGATATTGCAGAGTTTGAATTATTTACAGTTAATGTTTCATCATTTTAGAAGTAGGAACAACTGAAAGAATATCCCTTTAATTATGCAGAGAAAAGTAACATAAATACATATATCACATTTACAGCACAATCCCATCCTTAGAACACAATTGAATCCAGGAAACCATATTTCTGCTATATTTAGGATTATCTGCCAGGAAAAAAATCACTATATTTGGTGGGTCTTATGTATGAGTGCCTACTATATTTTTTAACTCCCTGTAAAGCCCCATTATTGCATTGTGCGATAATGGGGCTGCCTTTGAAAAGTGCTCAGCAATATCAATTTGGACAAAGGGCTGCAGCCAAATTGCAAAGTGAGAATGGCTATAGGATCACAAAGCATCTTAGAGTGAGGAGAGCAAGGAAATAGAAACATCTCTGTTCAAGCTCTATACATACGGTCTGGTTTTTTTTTTCCATAGCTGTGGTCAGATAGCAATATTTGTTTCAAAATCTTAAGTGTTGATCTCTTTACTCTTAAAAAAAATAAACATATTGATGTTTGTTTTCAATTTTTCAGCTATTGAACCTCCTGCAAACCTTGTGGCTACACAAATCTCGTCGAGATCAATTAGAATCACTTGGTCCCCATCTCCCAGTGAAATAACTGGCTACAAAATAGACATGATTCCCATGTTAGCTGGTGTCAAACAACATTCACTGAGTGTGGGACCTCAAACCACTGCTTTTAATGTCAAAGACCTTTCTGCGGACACAGAATACCAAATTAATGTGTATGCAATGAAAGGACTAACTCCCAGTGAGCCAGTAACTATAATGGAAAAAACACAGCCTGTAAAAGTCCAAGTGGGTAAGTCATTGGCCTGTGAAACTATTGAATATTAATACCTGAAGACAGGCCCATAGCCATGATTTTGATTCTGGGGGTGGGAGTGGGGGCTGAGTTTGATTTGGGGGGGGGGGGGGGGGGGGGGGGGGAGGCTGAGCCTGAGTGAGAGAGGATCTACCCTAGCAAACCTTTTGTATCGTTATCCCAATACCCCCATGCATATGGGATATATTGAGCATGGTGATCAGATCATGATATGAATAAACATAACAGTTTAAATAATGTACCAGTAAGTCCTTCTTGTAGACCACCCTGAGAATTTCAGGGGGGCAGCCTGAAGCCCCTCAAGCCCCCCCCCAGCTACATGCCTGCCTGAAGAGTGTAAAACTGAAATGGTACTGGGGACAACATAACTAATTACCGATTTATTTATTTTTAGGTTTTACATGATTCAATAAAAAATGAAATTTTGCATTAAGAGAGACATTTCTGTTATGATAAATCTGTTCATATAGATTTGGCTAAAGGGAAAGAAAATGAGGATTTATACTGAAATCCTCTATATTTTTATGAGAACAGGTTTCATAATACTGATTGGACTTATTTATTTATTTATTTATTTCTAGTACTTCTACCCTGCCCTTCTCAACCCCCCCGGGGGGGGGGGAGACTCAGGGCGGCTTACAAAAAGGCACAATTTGATGCCTACACAAAATACACATACGTACAAAACAGCAGTTAAAACAATTATCACAGTTAAAAACAATCGGTACATAACACAATCAATAAAACTAATCTCATGCTCAGCGTTCATCTTTCAGAGTTCCATATTCCATTCCACTTAGTCAATTCCTGTCCATCGTCAAAGTCCTTACTGTACTTACTTCTAAGCACAGAAAAATATGTAATTGTCCATACTTGGAGTGTTGTATATCTGCTAAAAAGTATTATTCCTTCTTTTTACAGAATGTTCAAAAGGAGTGGACGTCAAAGCTGACATTGTGCTGCTGGTTGATGGCTCCTACAGTATTGGCATTGCTAATTTTGTTAAAGTAAGAGCATTTTTGGAAGTGTTAGTTAAAAGCTTTGAAATCTCGCCTGAGAAAGTCCAAATAAGTCTTGTCCAGTACAGCAGAGATCCTCATACGGAGTTTACTTTGAACAGATACAACAGAATTGACGATATAATTCAGGCTATTAACACCTTCCCTTACAGAGGTGGATCTACAAACACAGGCAAAGCAATGACTTACGTAAGGGAAAAAATCTTTGTTACCAGCAGAGGCGCAAGACCAAATGTGCCCAGGGTCATGATTTTAATTACTGATGGGAAATCATCAGATGCTTTTAAAGATCCTGCCATAAAACTCAGGAACTCTGATGTAGAAATATTTGCAGTTGGTGTTAAGGATGCCGTACGAACAGAACTGGAAGCGATTGCTACACCACCTGCAGAAACCCACGTGTATACAGTGGAAGACTTTGATGCTTTCCAAAGAATATCATTTGAGCTCACACAGTCTGTCTGCCTACGAATTGAACAGGAACTTCGAGAGATTAAGAAGAAATGTAAGTAGTCTTTACCTTGAGTGGGAAAGTGTTTGTAATAGATTCTGGGCCCAATGGTACAAGCCATTTCATACAAATCCCTCAATGATATATAGCCAGCATCTTGTTAATGACATATATCAACACAAAGCAACTGTGTGAATAGATCACTTCTCCCATGCAATGATCCTCTGCACCTCCGCAATTGTTTTGTGATTGGTGGAGTCCAATGGGCACTGAAGAAAACTCTGATTATGGCCCTGTAGCCAGGTGCACAGTGAGAAAGCTGCTACAGGGTCCTCTAAGCCAACCCTTACTTATCATTGATTGCTACATGACTGTGTGTGTTAGGCTGGCACCAAGAGAAAGTTAGGAGAGGAGGGAGAGATGAAGCATAGTTTTTCCTCAGCAGAACTTTGTGCCCCATCTCCTGATGTAGAAACACAGCTTTTGTATGTATGTTTTAGAGAATAAATTTCACCTTAGCAATAACAATGTAACATTTGTGAGTTATGATAGCAAGCTTTTAATTATTGTTGGAGTTAACTTCATTGCTTTCCTTCATGACTGCATTTTGTGGATGAAGTAACAAAAGCCACATTAACTTTAATATGGCATAATTTGCTCACTAATGGCAGGACTACACATTTATAAGTGAATGTGGATTATTATAGGCCAGTCATATTATTGGACTTTCAATATTAATCAAGTTTACATGGATTCGTTCACAGTGTGACTTCACAATGTCAGTCTCCTGTAGAATTAGTATTTTTTGTCACTGAAAGATAGAAGTAGTTTCTTAGCATTACTAGAGTAGTCTTATAAACAATACGCTTTTATCTGCATTATACATGGGAATTGTGTTGAAAGTCATCCTCACTATTGGCTATGCTAGCTAGGGTTTGCAAGGCAACACAACTCCTGCTCTTAATTTCAGGTTGAAGTATTCTGATTAGCAAGACATTAGAGCAGCCCGTTATTTTATCCACACTTTTGTTAAATATAAACACATTTTTATCCAGTTTTCTTACTAGAGTCTTTAAAATTTTGAACAGCTTACTTACCTGCAAGAAATCTACAATTTTCTGAAGTGGGTTCTTACAGCTTCAGAGCTACTTGGTCTCCAGCAGGACCTGACGTTTTGTCTTACCTTGTCAAGTATAAAGAGGCTGTTGATGGAGAAGAATTCATGGTTTCTGTACCAGCACCAGTTACTGACACAATTCTTACTAATTTACTACCTAAAACCACATATGCTGTCAGTGTAATTGCGGAATACGAAGATGGTGATGGCCCTTCTTTGGATGGGGAAGAAACAACTTTAGAAGGTATAATTCATATTTTTCTGCATGTTTCTTTATCTTATAAATAAACAAAGGTAGAGATGCATTACATGTGTCATTATGGTGCTATAGTTGCTGGAATCTCCCAGTAGTTCTAGTTTTTTGTTGCAACCAATTTTCTACAATTACAAATGGATCAAATTTTTACTGTATTCAGGTAACATTTTTTGGAAACACTGTAGGCTGGACTGCCTTTAGTAGCCAATTTCCTAACATCTTATATATTTATATTTAAAATCATTTATGTTGATAATGTTTATAATGTCCACTCATATAAAGCCAAGTTCCATTAGTTTTCCTTGGGAATCAAACTGGAAACTGAAATATGAAACCTCATTAAAGCTAATAGATGCAAGTCCATTTTAGTACCCAAAGAATACACAGAAAACAGAGAGTGCTGCACATTTTTACCATTCTAAATCATGTATATCATATCTCCCTTCTTCAGCCAACTTCCTTGCTTATTTTTAGAGTTACTCTATATGTTGTATGTTGAAATCTGTTGTACTTTGTATGCAATGGCAGCCATGTACATCCCACGTCCATGCATATTTTTTCAACATGGCTATCCTTGTGTTATCATCCAACTTGATGGTACAGAGGAAATAGATTATAAAATAATATCATTTTTCAGCTTTTCAAATTAATGAAATGTCAAATGTTAAAAGAAATACTGCTTTCCAGACATGCCATTAATCTGTTTCACATTCTTTTAGATTCTGTTTACATCTCATCATCTGACTAAGGCTTTTAGAGAGCTATGAAACCTTTTGTTTGCATACCATTCTTATTTTCCTCTTCTGTAATAGCATCACTGCAAAAATTAGGGCTTATGGAAATATTTTTAAATCAGGGAAAACTATTTATGCAATAAATATAGGTATACATCAACTGACAAAGTAATTATGTTGCTGGGCTTAACTTCTTTAACAGAAGTATTGATATCAGAGGTAGAACTAACATGGAAAGAATAGGGATAAGTTCCCATACCACAAAAAAGAAGAACAATTCTACATGGTTGGCAAACTTTTTATTCAAAACTAACATTAAAAAACATGTAAGTCTTTCATAAGTAAACAAAAACATTTTTAATATTTAGAGATCATTCTTTCAATAACCTCCACTTTTCTTATGATTTCCATTTTGGTGGTGAAAGCTATGCTTTTTGAATATGCTAGAATAGCCGAAGCAGGTTAAACAGCTTTTCCTTATCCTTTGTTAACTGCAGTACACCTGTATCCTAATGTATCGTGTCCAGTTTACAAATGCAACAGTATAAACAAAATGTCATCAAAACACAATAAAATAGAATAAAAACAAAACTCAACATTAGAACACAAAGTGCAAGGGCAGTAAATGCTTAAGAGTTCATATAAACACAATTAAGTTCTTTCCCTTTACTATCTTACCGCTCGTACTAGACAAGACTGATATAGGTGGAGATGCTTCTGAAGATGTTTGCACAGGCACGTTAGAGAGCTAGCGAATTCACTCCAGAGTTTATTACAGACTATATAGGAACTATGCAAAGTGCTGAATCTATTTTGGGACTAAAGTTCAACATCTCAGGCCCCTTCCACATAGCTGAATAAAATCCCATATTATCTGCTCTGAACTTGAATATATGGCAGTGTGGACTCTGATAACCCAGTTCAAAGCAGATATTGTGGGATTTTCTGCCTTGATATTCTGTTTTGTTTTGTGTGTGTGTGTTTTTTTGGCTATGTGGAAGGACCCTGGGATAGCTCCCTTAAGTTGCCACTGGCTATTTGATCCCTGAGCCAGAATATTTAATGTAGAACATTTTTCTCCCATTTTAGGTGAATAAATCAAAATATGATAATTTGTATTTATGATTTTTTAAAATTTCTTTTGTAGTCAGGGGATCGCCACGAAATTTAAGAATAACAGATGAAACAACAGATAGCTTTAAAGTTGGATGGTCACCAGCTCCAGGGAATGTTCTGAGATACAGGCTTGTATATAGACCAGTTGCTGGTGGGGAGAGAAGACAAGTAACAGTTTCAGCAAATGAAAGAGCAACAACTCTACAGAATCTGAAGCCAGATACAAGATATGAAGTCTCTGTTACTGCCGAGTACCAGTCTGGAGCAGGAAATCCATTGACTGGTCATGGAAAAACCGAAGAAGGTAAGCTTATTGGATCAAGGATCTCTTTCCACAATAGAATCACTTTCAAACATATTGGGAAATTGTGGCAGACACGACTAGTTCCCTAGGAGCTTGCATTTGTATGAGAAATGTAGGATGAAAATAAATTTTGCAAACACATGTTCTTTACCTTTAACTGAGACACTTTTATAATAAAAGAAAATACTGTGTGTGAACTGGGCCTAAATTGATGACCTCAAGCTCCAAATGTGCCTCCTTCAGCTCCTTTGTCCAGAGCAGTGATAGAAATTGTGTGGCTATCAGGATGTTGTGTGATGCTTCTGACATTCCTTGTTATTGGCCATGCTGGCTAAGGCTACTGAAACTTGCACTCCATCAACATCAAGTGGGCTACATGAACATTTTGTTGTGGGTAGCATTCATTAGAGTGAGATTGATGGTGAAATGGTTTTTGTCAGAAGAATAAAAAGGAAAGCAATTATTTTCCTTCTGCAGCCCCTTTATCCACAAGTTCAAAACCACTGTTTGGATAGCATGAATGGGAGCTGTGTAGGGAGAGAAAGTAATCATATTACTTTGTAATCATGTTCAGTTGCATTTTGAGGTCTTCTGCCTCAAAGCACCTGTCATTGTTTGTTATTGTTGTGTTGCCTTCAAGCTTTTACAAATTATCTATCAAGGAGTTTTCTTGGGAAGATTTCTTCAGAGGGAGTTGACCTTTGTATTACTCTGAGGTTCAGAGAGTGTGATCTGAACAGGGTCACTCGGTGGGTTTTCTTGGGTGGGCTGGGTTTAAATCCTGCACTCCAAAGTTGTAGTCTAATGGTCAAACCACTAGACAATACTACCTCCAGTCAATTAAAAGGGCACATCCCACAACATTTACATCACATATATTTTTCATAAACCTTAAAAATATCAAATTCTCACAAAAATTATTTGTTTGCCTCCTATTGCTATGTGCAGTTCTGGGAAGACCAAGAGACTTGAAAGTTTCTGATCCTACAACATCCTCATTGAAGCTATCTTGGAATTCAGCACCTGGCAAAGTACAACAGTACCTTGTAACATATACTCCAGCAACAGGAGGAGAAACTAAAGAAGTGACCTTAAGAGGAGATACTACCACTACTGTTCTCAGAGACTTGGAGCCAGGAACAAGATATGATTTAGCTGTGACTGCCCTTTATGCATCAGGAGCAGGGGATGCTATTTCTGGACAAGGAGACACACTTGAAGGTAAGACCAGCTGGGTTTTGTGAATTATTGCTTTTATACCTGAAGAGCTATTTGACAATAGATATCCTGTGTGAATATATATCTCATTTGGTCCCGAATAATTAAACCGCAGCACTAATACTAAGGTAGTACACAGAAACCTAGGAATAGTTACGAAGGAAAGGAAAGAAAATAGACATTGTTTTGTTTAACCCTTGTGAAATGATGACTTTTAAGACTAGACATACATTTTGCTATTGACAGTTTTTGTAGCTTTTATGCAGCCCATTTTCATATTGACATCAATGTTTGAAAGAAACCACTGATATCCCGTGGAAGGGGGTTGGACTGGATGGTCCTTGCGGTCTCTTTCAACTCTATTATTCTATTATTCTTTAGCTGTCTGAGAACTATGGTGACCCTTTGACCTTTTTATATACTATAATATTTTGTCTGAAGGGCAGTTGGAGGGAAGTCCTCGATTCAATGACATTTGTATTTGAAGAATTATGGACTATAGATCGACCAAGCAGACAGATCACCTGGTGACAGTGTATTCCACTATGTAATAATGTTGTATTTCTTTAGTAAAGTCAAAATGTGCATATTAATTAGCACATTAGCTGCTATTGAATATTCTTTGTTAGCAATAAGTTTCATTTTGCTCTGTCATGCACAGAGGGCGCACTATTTTGAACATGATCCTTGTATATGTTTCTGATCAAAGATTTTGCTCTGGAGAAAGGTGGGGTTGAACATGTGTCCAGGTCCTACATCACGTGCATAACTATGAATGTGACTATATATAATCTCCTAATCTGACCACCCCCAAACCATCATAATAGCCAGCAGCTAGATCAGTGGTTCTCAACTTGTGGATGCCCAGGTGTTTTGACCTACAACTCCCAGGAATCCCAGCCATTCTACCAGCTGTTTCTGAGAGTTGAAGGCCAAAACATCTGGGTACCCACAGGTTGGGAATCACTTAGCTAGATGGAGTAAAGAAGGTCAATTCCATTGTGATCAGGGCACTGCAGGATAACCTTTACTGCCTCATCCCACCAGTGAATTCTGGTGTTACAGTCAGAAGCAAGACCCCTATTGATTGTTGGAAAGTGTGAGATGGGAATATTGTCATACTATGCCCCATTTGCCAGTTGATCAGACAACTATCACTGGATGTGGCTGATAGCTATTAAGGTAGATTAGGGGAGGGGTGATTCATGATTGTGGCACTAGTTTCACAATTGGGAATATGGAACATTTCTGAATATGGAGCAGTGACCGATCTGTAACTCTATATAATGAATTCTTAACATTATGCCAGACATCATCTTTAGATATGAGTAAATAATTCCATCAGGCTTTTATGTATCCTCTAGCAACTAATCAGAAGCTTTGAGGATGATCTCGCCATTGACACATCCCTAAATAGAAGAGCTAAGGAATGATTTCCCACAAATGCCTTAAATTGTTTGCAATTGTGATGGATTTAGTCTGATTGCACAACAGACTACATTACAAAACCTATTTTTGTTGTTACTCCAATCATGTTGAATCCATCACAGAATTTTCTTGGAAAGGTTTATTCAGTGAAGACTTGTCATCACCTTTCTCACAGAAAGAGAGAACGATAGTTTCCCAAGATCATTTAGTTGGTTTTCATGGCTGAGCAGAGAACTGAGTCCTGGTATCCCCAAATCCTAGTACAACACTATACAGGTTTTCTACTACAAAACCAATCAGAAATGTTTAAAACAGCAAATGGTGCCTAACTAATAAAACAGATGTGTGGCCACAGCACACAGAGCTTCCATACTTCTTTTTGTCCTTTTTACAACTGACCCAGTAATCAAACAAGTAATGGATCTTTGCCACTCAATCCACATGTTGAGATTGAAAAAGGACTGTGCGGTCTCATAAAGCACTGCCCTGGCTGTGGAAAAGAGTCATCAGTGAATCCCCCTTCCCCCGGCTTCAGCTTTTCATATCTCATGGACTAGCTTATTGGAGAGTCCCTGTCCTGTCCCTCTGCTTTTCAGTAATGAGTTAGCTACTATTGGAAAAAATGTGCTAAGGCAAGGGTGGATAACTTTTTGAGGTTTAGGGGCCTCACATACCCCTGTCAGATGTCAGAAAACCATAGCTCAGCATGCTTCAAACCCCCAAGTTTTACTAAAAATGCTCCTTACACCCTCTCAGCGTTTTTCTATATCCTGTGTCCTCCCCCACCCTATGATTTAGATGCAAGCTTATTTATCTAAATCTTTAAAATCCCACTTTCAAAACAGGAAATAACGACAAGTCACTTGGGGAAAAGAATTATCAGGGAAACATAGCAAAAATGCCTTCCAAGCCACATAAAGGGTATAATTTTTCAGTTTTGGAAGTGAAATTTGGGGGCAGGCACAGTTGCACTATATGCTAAACGCTGCACTTAGCCATTTGAACTTAATTTATTAAAATTGTTGAAATAATATCATAACTATTTTATAAATTAACATGTATTAACCATTTATTTACCACATTCATATTTTTATTATATGCACTCATAGCAATATTTAATTATGCTCGAAATCCTCTCTTTCCTCCTCATTTCTTGATCTTGTTCCATATCTACACCCAACAGAAGTATTTGTTTAAAAGATAAGATAAACATAAAGTATACATCCTCCAATATGGCCTATAATATTTGTTTGGTCAGGCTCCAAGCCTATGATCAAGAGCCAAGAGTTTGTCACAAAACCACATTTTTTCTATCTTATAATTCTGAATTTTTGTGTTAAGTAAAACATGCAATAACTGGAAATCTCTTTCAGTGATACAGTTGATGAGTTTTGCAATGTCTATGCATGCTTTAAAAATGTTCATATTCTGGAATGTGTTTATTCCTGATAGTATAGCTTTGCAAATATTTTATGCATGAATTTTTAGAGTTCTTCAGAAGTCCCCTCATCTTTCTGGATTGTTTTTTGAGGGGAAGGGGAGAGCATATAATTCTGATTCAAGACATATGCAAAATAACAACCACAACAACCAGAATGAGGAAACTGTCATTAATGACTAGGCAGCATTTTGAACTTGTCTCAGTTATAATCAGCAGCACTGAAATAGGACAGGTTTGCTCCCTACTTTGAAAATTCTTAAACAAGTTGGCTTTTGTGGGCAGAAAGGAAGAACTGTAGGCTTATTGTGTGCAACACAACAAAAGTGTAACATAGACTTGAAAAAACAAGGATAGAAAGCAAAAAAAAAATACTTAGAGAATATAAAAAAGAATGAGAAGCATTGTCACTAAGGTCCAAGTTTTTAAATTCCCTTTCAAGAGAAATAACTTGTAGGGTAATATTAGTAGATATAAATAGAACAAGTTTCCATTCCTCACTTAGGAGTAAGAAATGCACAGTTAACATTTGGGATACTGTTTATGGCAGGGTGAGGGGGGCAAGAAAGATTTTTCTTATTCTTATATATCAGAGTTATTGCTGACTTACAGTGATCCTAAGGTAAGCCTATTACCAGTGTTTTCTTGGCAAGCTTTGTTCAAAATGTCTTTGTCTTTGCCATTCTCTGAGGGTGAAATACAAGTCGAATATGACCCAAAGCCAACCAGTAGATTTCATTGGTCAAGTTGGGATTAGAACTGGTCTCCAGAATTGTATCCCAGCACTCAGACCACTACACAACATCATAAAAGATGAAATATCCATGTATATGATCCTGCCTGTTATGAAACACAAAAAGGGAACTTCATCATAGTAGCCTTTTGTCACTTAAATTCTGGAAAAAAAATGCAAGATGTAGCCTTTGAGCTTGGCTTTGATACCATGTTTACATGCTAAAGATCTGTCACTCCTCCTTACTTGTCTGCCTTATGAGAGCTTATTTTGGTTTGCTAATTTGCATGCTTACTTCACTTCATTACGCGCCAACCAAGCAGCCAAACAATTGATTACATATCTTGTTTTCAAGAGTTTGGGAACTTAAGAAGCAATGTTGTCACTACACAATTTCTATTTGTGTTGAAAACCAGGGGCCAAATTACATGTTGTGCTAAATGTATTATTGAACTGAATGTGGCTGGATTTTTCAGCCACATGTTTAGATTTTTATCCTCCCATGTTTGGATGGGAGAATAATGGTGCATGTATTAAAGTGGGGTTGAGACAACAGGATCTTAGGAAGCAGAGAAATAGGTTTGCTCATTTCCCCATTGTGGTCCATTGTGTTAAACCAGCAAATGAATTAAAAAAAACCCTCAAGATGACAGTGAGAGGGGTGAAAGGCAAATTCATCCCTGTTGGCTATAGTTTCAGTCCTGACCTTTCCCTCCTCTAATATCTATTTTGTTTTGTTTTTTTTAACAACACAGAACAATGCATCCAACCGAATGTGTAGTTTGGTCAAATATGTCTGCCTGAAACATGCAGTACATAGAATTGCCCAAGAAACTAAGTGCCATAAATTCACTTTTTGAGGGGCTAGCCTAGTTGAATATCTTCCTATCAGTGAATCATAAATTGAAAGCTCTTTGTTCTTCTTGCTTCATGACAAAAAGCAGTGGACATAGGTTTGTAGGAATGGCACATCCAGTTTCCTAAAGTGAACTTTTAGATTCCTGCAATCATCCCAGCCACTTACCTCACATTACCAAAATTAGCTCTATCTATTGTGTTACCTTTGACTTTTCATTCATAGCCCTAACAAACTCTGCCTCTTCACTCAAGGATATCCTGTTTACTAGAAAGTGCTGATCAGTTGAGAGAAATAATTGGAGAGGAAATTTAACCCAGGAAGTAGGCAGGTTTCAGTTTTGTCTTGTATGGTTCCTTTTACATGTAACCCCCATGGTTCACTAACCATTTAAAGATTTATAAAATAAGATCACATACACCAGCTCTCATTTTAGTACATTCTTGTTTATACTTATGAGAACTGGAAATCTGTTGAAGGCGCATTAAGTCCAAGATATTTGCAAGGATCCCAGCATCTGCAGACAGTAAGTCAAGTTTCTCCATCTG